TTATGTATAAAAGTATTTATGTGAGTATTTATATATTTCTTCAACAATAAAGATTACGTATAACTTATTTGATAAAAATTTTAAAACACAAGAATATTTCCTATTATTACACACACTCCTTACACAAGCCATCCAATTGTTCTTTTATTTGGACAGGGGATAAACCTTTTTTAAACTGAAACATGACAGTGACATAATCACTTCGATACACTGTTTTCGACATTTTAAAATATACGCGACTCTCATTACTCAAATGGCTGCTAAACTAAGACTAAGCATTTCATGTCGATGCGTGATTCTTTTATTAAGTACACGATAGTCGTACTATTAAATGCAACACAATATCTAGCGACATGTACCGTAGAAATATATAAGGCCAGTTCATTATGGAATCTAGCAGATACTTAATCATTGATGCATGCAGCCTATTTAATGTATATGAATAAAATTTTACCTATGAGATATACAATGACAAAAAACCTTGGCAGCATTATCCGATACATACTGTTGGTATCATATTAATTCAAGAAATTATCTCATTTTTCTTTCATTTCATATGTTATTTCAATGAAAACAATTATGAGTTTTTAAAGGCTAATTCAACTCCATGTACTAATTTGAACAAAACACCAATTTTATTTAAGTTTAAGTTCATAGCCGTACTTAAAACCGTGAAATATGGTTAAATATTAACGAAAACACCTGAAATTCCACACTTCTGCCCACTGTACCTTGTAAATTGTACCTATAACAATAAAACCATCATATTTTAAAAGGCTTATTCCTTATTCTTATTACCCTTACTCTTTAGCACTTTATAAAATGTTTTTACTACTGCTTTTATATCAAAAATGAAGGCTAAAGGATATATTATTACTTTTATAATACTTTAGGATACTTTTTTAAATGTACTAAAACTTCTATAAAGCATAAAATACGAAGTTTTTAAAAGTATAGTTATTCAAATTAAAAATCGAAAAAAAAAATCATTTAAGGATTTAACGCATTTTAGCGTTAAAGAGAAAATATAGGAATTTAAAATAAAGATACCGGAAAGATAAAATCATTTATATATACTTATATACATCTTGAGAAGCTTGTTGGTTTGTTTGACTGTGGATTTCAAATACAGATTGTTGTACACAAACTACTAGCTTAATCAGCATAACGAATTTCCAATTCGAAAGTTAATAAACTGAAAGTACCAAAAGTTTTCGGTTGACCGAGAATTTAAATAAATAGTTAAAAAAAAGATATTTTAGTGTAAAATTAAAGTATTTATATTACAATACAATTTTAGTTATCATTAATAGATGACAACAAAAGACCACCTACGTTGATTTTTAGTTTTACCACACACCACAATATTAAACTAGAAGTTTTGCATAGCAACGGTTAGAAAGTCAGTTCCTGGGTTGTAGTAAATGGGAGTGAATATTTCTCTTTAAGACAAAAAGCACTCATCTAAGTCACAATAGCTACACAAAAAAGCAGGATTTGTTTTATATATACCTCACCAAGAGTTATACAAGCAAACAGCACGACGCAATTCATAGCACTTTATTCTGATAATGACGATGATGACGCTCCTGTTCACGAGAATGATAAAAAAATATTAAAAATATTGCAAAAAGTTAGAAAAAACTATTCCGCAATGCCAAACTTGATGAGTGGATGAATGGTTGTCTTTCAAGAAACTACCAAAATTTTGGGAGAAAAAAATAGAATTTGTTTACAAAATTATCCTGGTCAAAACCCTCAAGCAAAGACTAAGATAAATTGACCAAAAGAAATTCAAAAATTTGTAAATTCTGAAATAAAAAATATATCCGTGGAAAAGGTCATCTTAAAATTTTACAAAGACTTCGAGGAAAAAAATATAATGTGATAAACATGAAGGTGAAATTATAAGACGAAAATAGTTTAGATTTTTTTACACTTGAGCTAAAAGTATTAAAACTACTTTAATGGCCATTTGTGCACCTGAAAGATTAATGAATTCAAATATCAACGAAGCAATGAAAAAAATAAACTAAGTGTTGTTGACAGTCTCTGAATAAATAAAAATCCAAAAGACTATATATATAAAAGGAACAGAGCGAGACGGTCTGCGTGGCACTCCAATGCAAGCAGGCAATTAATTGTGACTTGTAAGTAATGTTACTAAGTTTGTTTTAAAGAAACACTAAAAATTCCTTAAAAATCCATTTCTACTCCTTCTTTTTGTTCATGCCAACATTACGAAGTATCACTTCTTGCGCGTAGAGCGACTCTATGCTTAATTATAATATATTTTTTCAAATTGACACGAAATAAATACATACTTAATGTCGGTGGACAAAAACCTTAAATATTTAATTTATGAAATCCATTTGAAATATGATTTTACTAATTTATAAATAACAAAATAGATTCGATTTTATAGAATTTGTAGACGGAGAGAATAAAAGTAAATATTTTTTATTAGAATCATAAGAATATAACTACGGAACCGAACTTAACCACGGCGTTATTATTTATTTATTAATTGATTACTTTTACAAACATCCATTTTTTAATTATATTATTTTTTATTCTTTCCATAGAGATGGGTCTTTGTCCCGATTCTAAACGCATTCTGAATAATAGCCAAAGATTTTTATAATTATTTATTATTGTATGCACCAAGTCTTATTAATATTCGTCAAGCGACCTTCTCACGTTGCGTCAATTGATCATATATATTGATAATTATGATAATCAAAATAACATTTTTTAATACTCAATGTGCAGAAAGATTTCGTTTTTTTTTTTTTGTGTTCCAAATTTCTCAAAATGTTACCAATTAAGGAAACCGGTTTTAATCCTGATTCTCGAAGTACGGGTTATTCATTTTATAGAATTTTTGGAGAAATTTTAAACACGGCTCGTGATTTTTTAACATCCTAAAGTTTTATTACATATTCTAACTAATCCGTTAAACGATTATTTTGTTGAAGTTCAATGGGATATATGGATAATTAAGGAAGCAACAAAAATATATCATTAGAATTTAATACCATTATCTGATTTTAACTTCATGAATATGTATATATTAATGAATTTTAGTGCAATTTTATTTTATAAATGAGTCGCGTTGTGTAGTGCACGATAAATAAACGAGTCGCAACTTAACAATGTAAGCGTTATTAATAAGATATGACTTTTTGTGCAAGTTCTTTACTCCTGTGTTATCTGACTCGATGTCAGCGGTCAGTCGTGTTAGTGAGTAGTGGAAAATTGTTGTTTACTTCGTGTTATTGGACAATATAAATTAAATTTTGGATATGGATCCAGAGAGACTGCCGCTACTGAATAAAACTGAGAGTGACAACAAAACTAGAAAAACAAGGTAGTTATATTGTTTTATGCTAAGATTTTGGACCAGTAGTGCATTTTTTTAGTTTATTTTTTACCGTTTATTAAATGAATGCTTTGTCAATGGTGAATTATGCTTCCAGAATTTTAACATTGGATGAAGTTCGTCAATACCAGAGACGACCGGCCTGGCGTCGTGCTAGATTCTGTGTAGTCTTTATTTTCTGGGCCGTAATGGCTATTTTCCTATCAACAGTCGCCGCAATGGTTATGAACAACTGTACAAAAGTGGACATCAATACATTACCTATAGTATCTCCCGCACATTTATCTATTGGTAAACTTCTTTCGATGTAACCCATTAAATTATATTTAATTGTTTTGAATAAGGACTGTAAATAAAAACCTCGTATATATGTTTGGATTTTATTAAAAATATTACATATAAAATATATTTTTTAACAATAATGTTGTATTAAAATATTGTCTATCGACTCAAAGACGTTACAACGCTAGGATATTCTATAATAAAATAACTATACGTAACAATAATTTGCTTCAAAACTATTTGTTTTATATTTTACCAGTGAATCAAATTTTTATCATAGTCTGAAAATTTACCACAGATCATTTATTGCCTTAAAAAAGGTAAGTCACAAATTATGTATTACTATTTCATTATATGAACTACTTGGTGATATTAAATGCGATGATGACTGTTTTTAATTTATTTAAAATATCAAATAAATACTATATATTTACTTTCTCTGATATAATAACAAATCTTGTAGTAATTTGTTTTTCATACAGATGAGATATTGCAAATTTGTTCATTCATTTTTTTTTCAGAGGATTTTTTTTCTCACAAAAATGATTGCAAAGATTTTTCACATAAGGATCTCTTAATTTTTATTTGTAACAATATATATGTATACCTCATTTTTCGAGACTATATACTATACTTTGTATTTCGAGACTTCCATAGACGGGTGACAAAAAATTGCCAAACCAATTTGCCCACTACTTTGTAATTCTAGTTATTTCCTGTTTATTAAATAAATTGTATTATAATACAATCTCATTATTTAGTATGGCCATTCGTATGTATAAAATAAAATAACTCTCAATAAAAACAAACTCTTTAAATATTTTATAAACTAAAGATTTGTCATCAAAGAACATAGCCATTTTATACTGAAATAAACTACATATATGCCTCTAAATTTTTTATACATTACATGTACTTCATTATTAACCTCAAACTAGTTGTGTTCTTATGAAATTAACACAATATGTATTTGGCGTATATAACACAAATCATTTTTTGGTTATAACACTGGCCTTCATAGTTTATAGCCACATCTTCATATAATTCTCCTAACAAACTTATCTTATTACATATATCAGCATTAACAAATACTGTTCCTGCTTGACACTGAAGGAAAGAGAATCATTCCATCTTATTCACTCATAGAGATGTTGTATGAATAAGATTATATTTTTTTATTCAAGAGTTAGTATTACTTAATGGTAATAAAAACTATAACTATGGACTTTCTTCTATACATTCATAGTCACGTGACATGAATTTAATACATTTTATGGTATAAGGAATGAAAAGGGTTCAATACATTTTGTTATACAGTCAGCTTACTTATGATTTGTCAAGTAACGAGTCTACATAATGTATATGGTAATGAATAAAACGCGTATAACTGAATTTCGTCTGGCCCACCGCTTTGGTTGTTCTGTTTGACGATGTTCGTTAACTCGCTAAGAACTTCGTCTAACGTAGTCTGGTATTTGGGGAACCTGAAAGATACAGATTAAAATTGATTTGGATATGCAAAAAAGTATAAATGAAACTAATATTTTCGGATTTACTACGCGATTTTTTATTTTTTATTATAAACTACATACTCCCGACGTTTCGGTTACTTTACGGACAGAAGATATATGAGTATCTGAGTTGGTCTTGTTAATTTATCACCTACCGCCATCGATTTCTTAATTTTCTGGCGTACCGCTCTGGATGAATAAATAAATTTGAATTGAATTTGAAATTGAATGGAATGAATGATTGAATGAATAAATGTAAATGAATATTATATAAGTACTCACAGATCACTGACATTGGCGATAGCTTTAGGGAGGTCTCGTACCTCCAAAGGTACACTGAATGCTGCACTCAACTGACGTACGCAACGTGAATCACAGTTCAGTGCGACCACACTAACACGAACACGGGAAAACATCGCTGACAGTCCCAAGTTCGTGAGTATCGTTGTTATTTGGTTGTTTATCTGAAATTTAATATTATTATAGTTATTCTCAAAAGAAAATTTTAAATAACTATTTATTACTTTTTGGTTAACTAAGAGAATTAGTGATGTAATTTAATTGTGAAATCTCTATCTCATATTTGAATAAAATACTTGTAAATATTCTTACTTGTACTTCGTGTGATCTCCTCATAGTTTTTGATATCCTGCCGCCTGAGTTTATAAATGATACGAAAATGTATGGAGTGTTGGTTTTTTCTCCCTCCGGCCAACTGATTGTACGGTTGTTTGTGACTGAAATAGATATGTATTTTTGATGATAAATTATAAAGGAAAGTAGGCAAAAAATTAGTGTAAATTTAGGGAAGTTACTGGGAATCAATATTACTTAGTTAAGATACTGAAAATGACAAGAGATATAGGTTTTTTTTAAGATAACACTTCCTAATTAGATTATAATAATTTCATGGAATATGGTGCTGTTGTACCAATTTTATACATACTTTCTTAAGTACTAGTAAACTAAATCTACTAAAATAAATCTTCCCAATTATGGAAAAAGTCAGTTACAATTAAGAGTGCTATAAATTTGAATACATAATTTAAATTGGATTTTCCCAGCGTTTACTTACAATCAGAACTCCGTATAGAAGAATACGGACTTATCTTCTGTTTGACAAACTCCAAAACATCTGCGGCAGACTGTTTGAAAAAACGTACACTGAAAATAATAATATTGGTAAGTTTGTTACGTACGTGCAAAAAGTTAGAAAATATATGATCATCGCCGGGACGAGATCGTTGTATGGATAAAATATTATATAACGAGTGACGCTGCTGACTTCGCGGAACGAACACCAAGACGTGTGAACCAGAAGATTCTTGATACCACACAAGCTATGGAATGGTATTGCTATCCTAACATAGAGCCAATCATGTAGTCTTAGGTGTAGGTTATAAGTTTTAATATACAATCCTTATTATAATATACATTTAAGTAAGTTTCGTAGTTTTCCTGAAAGGTCTGGTTGCCACTTTATATAATTAGCTATTTAACACAGAATAATACATAACTACCCTAAAAACTGTACTGTGTAATTGTACTGCAAATCAAATAGATTAAGATTGTTTTAATTTATATGTCTTGAATATTTCAAATTGCCTCTTTACATATTTAGGTAAAACTCAATATCAATGAAACAGAATTAATCCTTATAGGTTATCAGATACTTGTCGAGAAAATAATGCAAATTCATCTAAAGAAATATGTATGTTGCCATATACAAAAAAATGCTTTATAACCAAAAGGGGAGTTTATGTTAAGTGTTGCAAGCAGACAAAAATTACATATATATATATATATATAACTAGCTTTCCGCCCGCAGCTTCGCCCTCGTGGAGTTCGGTTATATCGCGTTTCCAAGAGAACCTTCCAAAAGTCTGGGATAAAAACTATCCTATTTCTCAAGGTCAACTCTATCTGTACCAAATTTCATTAAAATCAGTTCAATGGTTTAGGCGTGAAAGCGTAACAGACAGACAGAGTTACTTTCGCATTTATAATATTAGTAGGGATGTTTATATTATATATTGGTTTACCTTCTACCTTCCCAGCAGGATACGATCACGTGACCTTGATCATGTTCAAGTACAAGTGGCGCCAGTGTACGGTGGTGAGCGTCAGCAGCGGCCGCAGACCATAACACGGCCGAGTACCCGCCTGACCACAACGAACGAGCCAGGCGGGCACACTTCGACTCTAAGGACGACTTGGTGGACACGCACACGCACACTGTGTTGCACTATTGAAAAAACGATTTTTAAATTCAGATATAAAAAATAATAATTACAACTATTAAATTCCTAAAATACATATTAAGTGATAATGAATGAATCATGATTCTTTCTAAAATATTGAGAAAGAGACGAATATCAGAAGATAAGAATTGATAAATTGCAAATAAGTTTAACTCTTACGTATTCATGGGATATGAGTTTTCGGCCTACCTAGGGTGAATTTAGCTTTCTATATATTTTAACTCTTGTTAAAATTATTATAATTAACAATATTTTTTATATAGCATTTAAAAAGAACCGTTATTAAATTGGGTAAATCAATATTTTATCAGTCAAAGATTTGAATTGTGTCAATTTTGATTTAACTATTTTAACTCACTATAAAAATACGTACCTCACTGTTTCTAACAACTGGTGCTATTTCTACGTCATGGCTTTTCAAGATGGCGGCGACCCTTTCCAGAGATAGTGAAAATCCCACAGACGTACAGTTAAATTCCGTATTATTATCCTTCACAGCCCTCGCGACTTTCCAGAATTCTTCCACCAAATTGTCATATCTGAAAATATTTATTAAGTATTATAAGAGGCGTGGACATGGCAATATAACTCAATAATTCAATTATATGTACCAGCTTGTTAACACACAAGTTATAAGTACCCTAAGACAGATCCGTTACACTTGATTTGTTTTTAAAACCAAATAAATCAATATTTTAAATCAATATTTGGTAAAGATATATTTTCGTTATTATTTCTTTGTTACACACTATTCTATCAATTGAAGACCTTTTTTTATTCAATTAATTCGAAATTCTACTTACTTTATAATAATAAAGTTTCATATTACCTGCCACCAACAGCTATAAGATCTCTGGCTCGATGTTTACAGCTGCTGTCCTGCCTTACTATAGACATCTGCCAGAACACGCCGCAATGTTGTGTAGCCTTATACGCGAGGAAGGGCGCCACTGTTATGGGAACCTGTATAAATATCATAAAACTTTCATTAGATTAGTTATAACATTCCATAGACGTCAAACAATATTGATGTCTAACACAGAATAGGAATAATAACTATGTCAGAAGTTTTGTTACTAGACTTCTCAGAAAACGCGTGGTTCTCAGTATATTAAACGACATTTTCCAGCCAAGTCTCCAAGTACTTAGGTTTAGGTTTAAAGAAGTGTATTTCCAAAAAGAACAAAGTTCGCTTACAAACGAAATTTTAAAATCTATAACTACAATTAGGATATAACAAATAATAAACAGTAGTGATATTAAACAAGATCAGTGAAATCGTCTAATATATGGGTTTTAAATTGACAACACTTAGAGGCAAAGAGTTATACATACTTCATAGAAGCATTCTCTTTTAAACCTAGTGACGTCATATATGCTTACTTCGCATCCAAGACTCCTGGCGTACGTCACAACCGCCTCCAGCTCTCGTATAGCCGTCTCCCCCCTCCCTCCCCTCCCCACCCTCGCTACCTCCCGCACCTCCCCCACCGGAACATCCGCCTCCATGAGACGCAGCATGTTGGTGACGTCACGATGTGTCACACACAACGTCGTGAGGTGAGTTTGAAGCTGGAGATTGGTTATCCGACCTGGATTTTGTATATTGGTACATGTATTAAGTGATATATAAAGAATTATTGTGATATCAATAAAAAAAATATATAACTAAATTAATCTAAAAAATTATATTTAAATGAAACTAATATTTGTCGGATATACTACGCGACTTTATTTTTGATAAAAACTACATAATCTCGACATTTGGACTACTTTTCAGCAAACCGTGATCACGAGCAGACGAGATATTAGACAAATAATCATCAACCGATAGTTTATAGTGAATAAATGTTGAAAGATTCGTAATATAAACTAATAAATCCTACTTACCTAGACTGACATCAACAAGTACGGGGTATATTCCAGAATGTTTGTCAAGCGGTACTCCGCATGACAGAAGCAAGGTCTTCAACAGTTCCGTGTGGTTCAGTTGTATTGTTACTTTGAGAGAACATTCTTGAGCGGCTCGGCTCGCTACCACCAATAATTCAGCGTCCGGCCATAATGTATCTAGAATTATATATACATATATTGAACTATTATTATTTACGGAACAACAGTTGTGACTATACTTGCTGTTATTAAGCGTTTAAGATAATAAGAATTATTTATTTATCCATCAATAATCTGCTGTAAATTTTATATAGGAAAAGTCTTAGTTGCAAAGAAGAAACTAGTGTTTGATTTTAAATAACAAGTTTATCTACGTGTGTAAAGTGACTCCAATCAAACTGTTATGGTCTTATAGTATATGCCCATGTGGAACTACTATTTTCATGTATTCTTCTCTTTAATTATATCTTGTAAGTTATTTTACTATATGTGCATAATATTATATAGGTGCATTACTATCCGCTCAGTTTCTTTTTTCGCTAAGGGTTATAGTGTAATTTTTTTCTTACAGCCGAAACTAGGCCATGCCTGCGACTTTTCTCACAAAACAACGATCATACTAACCAGTCTTCGGATTGACAATATCGAAGGCGCACTCAATGATCTCTCTGGGATGGAATCCTTGTATCGTTCGTTCAGTATCCCTGTACACTCGATCGATGATGTAGCGCCGGGCGTACTTGGTACCCGTGTACGCTGTATGCCTGAAAAATTTCAAATAAAACTAAGTTTTTCGCATTTAATTTTAGTGTTAGCAACTTTGATACTGGGTAGACGAAATATTCGTGTCTATTTCAGTTCACGGTTGCTAAAAACAAATGGACAAGCCAACGAAAGTTTATTTAAAGAAAATCTATTTTCTTGGCAGAAAAATGTTGACAATAGATACATTTGTATTATATCAAGGTGAACGCAAACAAAAATTACTAGACTTATTCACTGAGTCATAATGAAAGGAATCAATACTCATATATTTGTATAATACCAATAATAGTAGACAAAGTACCTTGCAAATGGCAACCTGAGGTCGTGAGGTAGGTGACACACTGAGCCGGATGACGTCATCACCTTTACGGCGTTGGCATACTGGTCCCAATGCTTAGAACGCGATGTTAGCAATGGAGGGGCAAACTCTGTGGCGCCATGGCTTTGAAATACCTGGAAATTTAATAATAACATTTGCAGAAGAATAAACAAACTTATTGTTAATACGTTATTATTAAAGACGTACAAAGCTTATTCAAAAGAAAATCATATCAAGGTTCTAATTGGTTAACTTAATGTACCCATAATAAATATATATTGTATAAAACAACTGACCTTGACAACGGCGTCTTTGATACCAGCTATAATTTCCATATCTTTGGGTTTCACACCACTGTGATATGTGAAATCTTCAGCAGCCGAAGGTTTCTGATCCAGGCATGCTGTTATCAACCTTTGGTAACCCCTGGAACCTCTGGAACTAAGGGTATGTGAGAGTAGACCACACAAGGCTCCTTCTGGGACAGCTCGAGGCACGTGTTCTGATCCCAAGAGTTCCAGACTCGTGGGGCGGAGACTCGCGTCATGATCTAATAGCCACCTGGAAAATAGAGTAAGGTATTTGAAGGTGTGGAAAAAGATCTTTACACTAAAATTGGCATAAAATATTGAGTCCTCTCATTAAGTATCGTGTTTTGAGTCACATTGAGTTGTTTACGGGTTTATATAATGAGGAATATAGGACAATTTTTCATTATTTTATAAAATAAATCTTAAAGTATATTACTGTCATTTTAATACACTTTCAAAGAAGTTTGAAGTAAGAAATACCGTTTAACTCCTTAACTTCCACATTGAAGGACAAATATAAAGAGTATTGTAAGTTGTGCACATTTGGTTATCTTCTAATTAAAAGTACTAATTCTCGTCATATCATAAACTCCAAAGTTTGAGAGGGAATATGACATTATGTATTCAAAAACAATACTTCCAAAAATTTTTGCAAATTTTGTCAGTTATGATGCTTAGATAACATAATAACGTATACGCATTAATGAAGCCAAATTTCGTATTGTTCCCTCGGAATTACTACATACGAGTAATTGCAATTAATTTGTGTATTAATGTGAGTCATATGATACAAATCATAGATGGGGCTATTGATGACTCTTTGAACCCTCTTTGATATTGCCTTAATCCATGAAAATGATGTCACGGGCAAAACCAATAATTTGATAAAAGAATTCTGAGGTAATTTCGGAAATTTTCAAAGCAAAAAAATATTTAACATACCTTATAACATGAATCTGCTTAGCATTTTCTTCCCTTGTAAAATCCTTTGGCATGATAATTTCTTTTTTCCTCAAATTGTTCAGAACTAAGTATCTTTCGGTCCCAGTGTCGAATGGAGGGTGGAACATTTCGAATAATATAATTCCCAAGGAGTAGATATCTACTTTCTGGTTATATATTACTTTGGATGCTGACTGTTGGAGTTCCGGAGCAACGTATAAAGTTGTACCAACCTATCGTAAATGGAGCAAAAAATATTTAAAATCAAAGAATATTAAACACAGAAATGTATATACACAATTACATCATTAATTAAAATTAGTATGGATTAGTCGCTAATGACTTTATGTTGATATATGCTAAGCCATAGACGATTTTGGACACTTATATGTCACTAATTTTGGAGAAAATTAAATCATATTGAAAAATTGTTGATAAGAAAAAAAAAATCTCACATTTTATGTGTGAGTTCAAACAAAAACCATTGGCCCATTGAATGAGCCAATAGTTTTGTAGTCCTTTGTAATTGAGATAATAATAAATTTTACATCCTGAATCACTTACCTTTCCTGTGAGTAGACCATCTGTATCGTCTTGAGATTGTTTGTCTGAAAGTAAGAAAATATACAATGATAATAATGATATTACTTAACTCTATTTCGAATATACAATTTTTTTAATATGAATAAGGCTGGTTTAACTTAAAAAGAATTGTTTAAAAAACTCAATAATAAATTTATAGTTAATTAATATTTTTAATGGCATTTTTAAGCAATTACTTGGTGAGGCAAAAAAGCTGAATACGATTTCTGGATTTTCAAACTAAGAAGAGTATTAATAATGAACCCGATATGTGATATGTTAACTAAGTAAGAATTATGCTAGACTGAACTATATTCATATATGTATATGCCATTTTTACCTTCAACGGGAGGTCCAGTAAATACTTTGGTAGCCAGTCCAAAATCCCCAATTTTAACGTGATCATTGGAATCTAAGAATATGTTGACAGGTTTCAAATCTCTATGGATCATACCTTTTTGATGGACGTGGGCCAAACCTGAAATAAGAATGGTTCAGTAATTTATATATCTTATATCTTTAAATGAGCAATTTTTGTATATACGATAACGATTTTCATGAAATTTAGTGTATAGAGGGTTTCGGGGGCGATAAATCGATCAGCTAGGAATCATTTTCAGAAAATTTTATCATTTTATGAAAGAAAAGGAGGCGTTTAAAATATGACTCTTCCTGACATCTATTGACGAATAATTATACTGATTTTACTAATTTCTTTAACGACACAACAGCAGATGGCGTTGTTTAGTATCAGGAAGTCAATGCGTGTATGTTTTGAGATTAGACTAAGAAATTAATTGTTGATTTATACTGTTTTGTGTCTTCTTAACGTGTTCACTTAAAAATGTCTAATCGAAATAAAAAATAACACAAAATAAATACCAATAATTCCTAAATACCGAGGAAAGCTCGGTAGCCAAGTATTTTTATTTATTCCAGGTAATAATATCGTAGCAATAACAAAATTCAACCTTCTAGTATCTCCCTAAACAGCCTCCAAGCTCGGAAATGATCATGATACAAAGCATCATCGATAGCTTGCCGCAATGTGTTCTTCTCACAAAATTCCATTTGTATGTACAGTACTTGTTTCAGCGGCAATTTGGTGTCTACAGATTCCTCGGTAGGAGTTGGCTCTGATTGAGAGTTGTTCCCTTCAAAAGCTACTAGACTGCTTGAATCTTCTTCCGGACTGAAAATATTGCAAATATTTCAAATATTTATAGGCACTTATTGTTAAGGCTCTAATATTAAAACCAATAATATAAGACCTTTGTTTTAGTACCTTGTTATATTAAACCAGGGTTCATCATCATCAGAGTCGTCATCACTATCGGACCACTCATCTCTAACTCGTCCTGGGCCTTCCGACATAGACCAGTTTATCTGTAAAAGTCATACAACATTATGCAATGTTTTTACTATTCATGGTTGAATTGTATCCTTCTTTCCTTAAAAATAACCCTTAACATTGAGCTAAACGTAAAAATAACACTAAATCTATGAAGTTCTTCCATAAGCGGTCACACCTATGGTTTCGAGTTTTATTTCTTTGACAGCCCAGTTATCTGGGGTGGCTTTTACAAAAAAAAATTGATTGCACATCCAATTTCAATTTTATGTTCGAAACGCTATGGTCGCTTCTTCCAATTTGTACCGAGAGCTTTCTTCTTTTTAATCAAAGAAAATTCCCCATAATGACTCGAATATTTACTTGCCAAAACCTACATGTAGAAATGTATGAACAGTGATAGCAATTAACCACGGGCCATACTAAATACTAGTCTTTACTTTTACCCAAATAATTGTTAATTTCTTACCTGAACTTGTCCGAGTTTCGCGACCACATCTGACAGACTATCCCCTTTCTTCACTGGAGTCTCTACAACTTGACTTTCTTCTATTTCAGTCTCAGTTATGGTCTCGACCCAAGCGTTGTAATACCTCACGACATTTTCATGATTCAATCGCGATAATAACTTGACTTCTCTGGTAATCTTCTTGTTCAATTCCACACTCTTGGGATTCAATTTGACGTGTTTTATTGCGTAGAATCCACCGTCGAGTTTGTTCCTCACCTAGTATAATAATTAATTTATATATTAATAACACAAAATTTGGAATTAGTATATTAGAAGGTCGTGGTGGCCTAGTGGTTTCAATACTGTACCCGTACTTTAATTGTAAAATTAAACATGCAGTTTTTGATATCATATTAAGTTTAGAATATCATTTGAGAATATATATGAATAAAAAGCAATAGTCAGTGGTGGCCTAGTGGTTAAAAGGCCCGCCTCTCGTGCATTAGGGCGCGGGTTAGAAACCTGGCAAGTACCAATGTGATTTTTCCGAGTCATATGTTTTTTTTCTAAGAGTATTTAGCAACCACTGACGTGAGGAAAGCTGGACTTATAATTTCAAATTATAAGTTTGAAATCACCAATCCGTCTTGAGCAAACGTGGCTATTAATGCTCAAATTTTCTCCATGTGAGAAAAGGCTTTTGCTCAGCAGTGGTCTCTGATATAAGAAAATATTCCGAAAAAAACATTACATTTAAACAAAAGACTATCTTCATATAAGTTAAATTAAGATCCTCTTTATAGTGGAGCAAAATCACTTATATCACATATTTTCGCAAATATAATATGATTTTCAGGACTACGTATAATTAGTACGTTTCTTACCTTAACAACATCGCCGAATGCTCCCTTACCAAGCCAGGCAAGAATTTCGAATTCAACATTAAGCCTTGAATGACCGTTTGCTAAGGAAGTCATATTTGAGATTCTTTTAGCACCATCATCGCCCTAAAACATTGATTTGAGGAATTAAAATTAAAAAATAATTTGAATTTTACAAATATATATCGGTATGTTGATAATCTTCAAAGTAAAACTACTCAATGATAGTGTGAGAAACTTTAAGCTTGAATGGCTTATAAACATATTTAGATAAATCCTTAAAGATTTTTTTTTAAGAATAATATTTTAAAAGTCAGTTTATTACAATGCACAGATTTTTCCAGCTTAATACATATTCTATTATTGGTCCGACATTTTATAGTTCCTAACAAGACAAAGAATTAAGAAATGTAACTATATAATCAGAATTACTGGGCATGAATTGTTCAGACTGTTTGGTTTTTTGATAAATAATATAAGAATATTAATAATTTTATTACTATATAAGGCCAATTAATATAAGGCCATTAGGTATACCAAAATGTTTACGAATTAAAGACATGAAGTCGTGTTTTTAAGTATTTTCGTCTCGCAGTCAATAATTCATTGTATATAATTACCTCAGAGTCACTATCATTGTCATTATTATCTTTGCTATTAGGCAGCTTCGTTGGTGCATCTACAAGGAAAGCATGATTAACAAGCTGTTCCGCTGACCATTGCAAATGTTCATCCTCAGTCAAGCACCTGGAAAATCATTTAAAAATATATTATTTTAATACCAACCCTATTACGATGGTGTTAAGATTCACATCTTTATTTGTATGTTTGACCAATGGCAAAAAATTAGTGTGGTAAATTTCTAAATATTAGGGGAGATTTTTAAATATGATTATCGATCATAAACCACACATATAGCTTACTGTTTTCGGAACACACGGCAAGTCAACAATAATTTAAAAAAAAATCTTGAGATCCAATTAATTTTACCATTATTTTTTCCCCAATCACTAACTACATAAATTTTTAAATCAATCAGACGCATTCTATATACAAAAATAAATAAAATGAGGTGAATTAAAACAAAATGGAGATTATTTTAAGTTAGGCCTGTTTTTAAGTTATTTTTCAGTTTACTAAAATAGGGCTATATTTTTGACCTACACATTTTTTTTTATCCAACCGTTTGACGTTGGATAAAAAAGTTATAGGTCTTTGACGTTAAAATTAATAATTTTAGATCATCCTTCAGAATTAGATAACAAACAGCGTTATAACATAGTTTTGATTTAATTTAATAACAAATATTTGTAGTGTCTCATAGATTAATTGGAAGAATAGTTTCATACAAACCCATACCTTGAGAAGAAATCCTTGACTGAGTTGGGTAAATCCGGTGGTATCTCCTGACCTGACTCCTCAGTCAGCACTGACAGCAGAAGCTGGGCGGCTGCGTATATATCGTGAGATTTTGTCTGTCTAATTAAATTTATCTTTATAGAAAATAATAAAAGTTACTACTAATCTATGGACAATCTAATTGCTTCATTTGTGGGTTTAATTCCACTAGAATTAATATGCATCATGAATCATTTTAAATATATTATCTAATGATGATCAGTGATATCTGAATATATGTTAGCTGGCATAGATTTCGAGAGGTTTCAAGCTTTGAAAGCCAGACATAGGCCATAAAAGTTAATTCAAAGAAGATTATTCTGAATGTTTTAATAACTAATTTATACAAAGCCCTTCTAGAGACTTTAGCAAAAGGGTGCTAAAAAGCCTACATATGCGAATATGTTTTTTTAATATGACCTAAATAAAAAATAATTAATAGTGAATAAATTTGCCATGATTTAGGTACATATTTAATACATGACTTTCATTATGAGTCACTGAATTATTTATTTTAAAATTATATAATCTTTGAAGCACAGCTTTTATAGATAACAGTTTAATAATGCTTTTATACATTATCTTATTATCAAACAAATATGTTTGCATATTCACAATATACCTCTTACCTATCACATATGCTATCGCCGTCCAGAATTTCTGACAATCTGATATCCAAGCTAGCTCCAACTAATTTAACAGCACCACTCTCCTCTAAAAAGACCGTTTCACTTCTAACATCACGATGCAATACATTGACGCTATGCAATTCCTTCAACGCACTAAACAATCCCATCCCTATTTGTCTTAATAACTTCAAACTTTCAAACTGATCGCCGAATTTGGATTTTTCTTTCAGATACTTCATGGAACTGCCCAATACGAAGTCTCTGAATATATAAATAATCTGTCTCGGATTTCGTTTAGATTCTGTTATCATTTCCATAGCCGTGTATGGTGCTAGGGAGGGATGTTTCAATCTGGACATAACTTTCAGGTCTTGCTGTATAGCATTTAACTGACGATTTCTTATTTGGTAATCCGATGAAACAGATAGAGTCCATTTTTTGGCAACTAATCCATCACCGTCGTCATCTATCGCTAGGTAAGTTGTAGAACCGTTTGAAGAATGCCCTGAAATGTAATAACATATAGACAGTGTTAAAAAATATATTTAATATTTAACTTGGTAATTAGAGCAACTATTATATACATGCCTTTACAGAGTATAATTAAGTTAAAGAACAAAATGTTTTTAATGATATTTTATATAAATGACTAGAAAACCCGGCGAACTTCGTATCGCCCTATTGTTACATTTTTTTAATTATATTTTTGGAGTTTACCTATTAAAGCCATAAATCTCCGTGTTTAGAAGTGCGACTGAATGATTGACATATTAGTTAGTTGTCAAATCTAATGTAAAAAAAAGTTTGTATCGACAACAACTAATAAATTAAAAATTAATTAAAAAACATTGTCCAGCGGACAAAATTCTGAATCTAAATAATTCCCAGATCTCCTTGAACACACACAAAAAATTTCATCAAAATCGGTCCAGTTGTTTGAGAGAAATTCAGTGACATACACACTCACAGAAGAATTATATATATAAATGATAAAATAAAGAAACATAAATATCTCTTAAAATGAGATAAAAAGTTTGTTCAGCCACTTGAAAAATTAACCACTTGAAACTAACATCAACAGATACATTATTTTCAGTTATATTACCATTTGAAGTGGTTAAAAAACTTAAATATATGTGTATGAGTGTGTAATTTCACCTATTCTATTTCTGTTACCACAAATATACATATTACAGATATAGTTTCTGTATAAAGATAAGTTGTTCATATACTCACCAATACAATTTCCAATATAAACTTTCTTGCTATTTCTCTGTGTATATCTAAGCACTTGGATTCCTTTTATATTACAACAACAGGGTATTGAATCCGAACTCCTTTTTGACACCTTCTTAATTGGCGACATTTTTTCATCAGCATAACTATAAAGTTAAATAATGAAAAAAAATATGTTAACCACAAGGAGAGAGGGATAGAGAGATCTTTTAACTCGCTCTTGCATTTTCTGTTAAATATCTAATTGACTCATAGGTATAATTGTTGAAACAAAATAAAACATTGTAATTCTAAAATGTTTTCTATCTCAGAAAATTAAAACAACAGGATAATATATTTATATTATTTAATAATAGCATTTATTCTACATAGTAATGTTTTAAAGAATTGTAGGATATTTATATATATACAGACCATATTTATTTTATTTAGTGATTATACCCTGTTTTTATGTATTATTTTGAATAGAAAGTTTTGCATAGACAATATCAGTGTTATATGTATAATAAAATATACTCACAATACCAATTTAGGTATATCCCCTTGTCCGTTTTCATCAACATCAAGATTACAACTGGGAATCCTATCTCGGCCGCTACGAAGAGCCTCTTGACGTTTCTGGATCTCATCTTTAATATGTTTTAACTGTTTAATTAAATATTAATCATCAATATTTTTTTATATATATAAAAAATACACATAAAACTATGTATATAATAGTGACCAAATTAATACTTATTGTGTAATCATTTTCTGAAATATTTTGTTTTTCTACACATTGGATATCTTCCATAGACAGTTTGAAATACGATAAAGATAAAATAAGATAATATATATTAAGATATATATAAAGAATGGATATTTCAGTTTTCTTAGTGAATAATCATCAAGGATTTTGTAGAAAAAATATATATAGGATAAGCTCTTCTTTGATAAGCCAATAATTAAGATGCTTATCAGAAATACAAGCTAGTATATGAATGAAAACCTTTTCTTGAATAACTGAAAGTGACTAATGGTATGCAAATAGTAACCAACAGTCAATTTGATCAACCGACCTCTTCAAACTCTTTTACTTCCAAGTCATGTTTTTTCATTTTCTCCATTTCTGTCTTCTGTTTCACCATTTCATCGTAACATGAAAGTGTTGGTTTATAATGATCACGAAGAAATTGCTGCAAATAAAAAAAACTCTTGAAGATAGGTAAATTATTTTACATATAAATCCAGTGGAAGAAAGTGTCATTAATATGATAACTTTCTTTACTTTAAATAAGTGTTTTATTGACTTTAAATATATGCAAATTTAGCCTTTACATACCTCAGTGTGCTGAGCTAATTGGAATATCATTACTTCTCCGCACAATTGAGCCGCTAGCTCCTGTAGTTCGCTTAATAACTTCTTGGAATCAGACAGGCCTTGCATTTTGTGTATTGATATGGTCGGCAACCTTTTAGATTCACAAGAAACTTCAATTTATAAATAGAATTTTTCTTTAACATCCAAATATTAAAAGATGCATACTTATCAGGATAATTATGACAACAAATAAACTGTAGAGTTGCCCAGCAGTGATCTCCTTCGGAATTTTGAAGCGGCTTCAATGTCAGAAGTACATCGAGTGGACGCCATTCATTCCATACTGATTTTTTACGATTATCAACAACAGCATCCCCGTAAATAGCCTAAATATTAATATAATTAATACATTTATTTGTTAACTAGAAACTATGTAGGTATTAAATAAATTTATACTTGGTCAATTATAGATGAATAAAAATTAAGTTCCACAAAAAAAAAGAGCTTTATTGTAGAATATGGAATATTTTATCCTAATTTATTTTAATATAGAACTAGCTGATTAAGAAGAATATTAGATACAAGATTTGTATTAAATTTCAATACAAGTACCTTTAGAGCAAACAGCTCATTGTCTTGTCTCTCTTGGTTAGTTTCACTGGACATTTTAATATTAATAATTTTAATATAATAATTTCTATTGAAAACAGTGGTCCACTTGGGATTTGTACTAGTTCACGTCAACATTGAATTCAACATACAATTTTTGACACTTGACGATAGACGTTCAATGTCATCTTTTAAACTGCCAGTGTCAATTTGAAAACTGGGAAGTTTAGAAATTGCGAATAATCAAGTCTCAAATCAGAATTAATTACCTTTTCAAAACTTTATATTTTGACAATGTAGTAACAGAATTCTGGAAGTAAATTGTATAAACGTTAAGAATATATTTTTTAAATCTTCTAAAAAGTTTGGAGGTACTTATGTATTTCAATTGATAATTGGTTTGTTATATTGATATCCCAGTTTTTAGCATGTTATATAATAAAAATATATATTTATAATATCACATTATAGTATAATATCACGTTATTGTGATAATATTCCTTATCTAAAAAAAATACATAAAAGCTATTACGTCGGGACTACTATTGACGTGATAACGTCTTTAAAATCGTTTTAGTCGGGTGACATGTTCAAAAACTTGTGTCACACCAAAACCTCACGAGCGCGATCGCAGGTATAACGAGAGAGAGAGACGGACCGATCTCCCGTCTCATCTCGAGCGCTGCCAGTTATTCCGTGAAACTTGTCAAGCGGAATCCTCACGAGCGGAGACAGGCATAGCGTTCGAGTGAGTGGACCGATCTTCCGTCTCTCTTACTCTAGCGGCATACAAACGAATGGAGATTTTATCGTGCGGTTAAGTTTTCGTTGAATGTTTAACTTGTCATTTTACACCCGAAATTTATCATCAAAAGTGTGAATAAAACGATAGATGTAACTTAAAATTTGAAAAAATTGTTATCTTCATTAATTCCTTACTTCCCAAAAACTTATATCACCAATAAGACGTTATCACGTAAACATCTCGATCGTAAACCTACTTTACAAACAACCAATTTTTTTTTAAAGGATAATAAGTAAAATTTTTGAATTGAAACTTATAAGTAATGAAAAAGATTCGAATGTTTTTTAATAGCTTTGGAGTTTTATGCTTTCAAGTATACTCCCAAAATTTCATAATCACCCAAAATCACCCAAAATTTTATTTTGTGTATGTAAAATGTAAAATTTTTGCAGTCAAATCTACTGCTTATATCATAGATGCAAACAGTGTGCAAAATATAATGTGCATGAATATAAACAAAAGAAAACAGATTCCTTGCATTTATGTTCCATCATTATAATTTGAGTGTCCTTTAGAGTTTAGACTAATAGGCTAAGATAGTGTATTCACCACCTTAGGCTTCATTTTCATCTACCAATAAGTAGATAGATAGTCAAGCATCTTCATGTTAAAAATAAAATGTATACCTGTATATAATTCCTATAAGATCTTGCAATTATTAAAAATTCAGCATTACAGAAAAGCAGTGGCAAATAAATAAAAATCCTTTGGAATTCCGAAGTAGGAATTGTATTATCATAAACTTTCATATTTCCAACACACTTCATAAACTTTTTGTAAAATATTGTAACCGCCAATATTTTACAAAAAGTTTATGAAAAATTATATCTGTAAGAGCCGTACCTAGTGGTTAAGTCAAGTCGAGTCAAATATAGACCATCATGCAATTTTATTTCTTAAAATTTCTCACGTAACTTGAGAAAATAACTTGTAAAAATAAAAATTGTTTATAGTATAAAAATTAATGTAATTTAAAACAAGTTTTAAATTTTTAAAGAAGTTTAAGACCACCATGGTGTAGGAAGTCCGTATTAAACATTGTATTGATAACCAACATCCCCAAAGACCATGCCATTAAGGTCAGTAAGTAGGTATATCTAGCTCTCTAGGAGTAGGTTCGCAGTGGATTTGTATGTCGTAGAAGTGGGAGCAAGTGGTATAACAGCTAAATCTCTCTACAATCGACGAAAAGACTTGGGCCTTTCAAGAACTAATATCAATTCAGTCTTAGAATTTACTTCGTAGGCAACCTAACGTAACGTAACGTTCTTTTCAAATTTGTTTAGGTAGAGAGAGGAGCTTGGACGTCAGAGGTGAGAGTTTAAAGCGCTTTAGATGGGGGCTCCTTAATCCTACAGCTGCAAAGCGATGGATCCATTGAAATTTTAAAGTGTGTGAGGATGAACAGGTGCAATTTGTATGAAATCAAATGACAGAAGCTATAGATAACGCTCCTATTTAGTTAGTACATATTTATAAATTATTTTCTGGAATCCAAAATGTCGCGTTAAGGCTTAGGTATAATAGTTTTATAATGTTTTGTAATTTCTATATTCAATAGGTCTATTTTCTCTATGTGCCTTCTAATTTTATTCACTATGATGAATATTGATACAGTGATTATTTAAATAATAGATTAGTTAATGGAATGAAACATCTTTTAGTTTTATGTCAATTTATTTGGCAATTATGTATATTTATCAAACAATTATTATTGACAGATTGACACATTGAAAGGTCAGCTAAATATATAAAGCATTATAACCCAAATCAGTATTCTAAGTATTATAATCAAAATATTTAGATATTGGACAATTTTGGTTCGGCTTTTCGCATTATATATTTGGTTAGATTTGTAATTCTGAATGACAACGGAAAGGTTGACATCTGTCAAATTTTGTCGAATTGGCTTGCCCCCTGTCCTGTTCAGCACTTGTCATCTGGTTTGGTACAAAAAAATGTGATGATATTTTTTAAATACTTTTATAAATATGTCATAGAATGATTTATATTTATTAAACTGATGTTTATTGTTATTTATATTAAGTTTTACTTGAATATATTAGCTTCATTGTTTTATTGTTTTGTTATTATATATTAAATTTACGTTAAATCTTATACCTTGGACCAAATTAACACCTGAGCAACATAGAATACTAATAATGTTTTTACGCTAACCCTTTCAAATCTAAAAGGGTCAAAGTTGTCAGTAGACCTTGATAAAGTAATCTCTTTCTGCTTAGTGTGGTTAAGGTCTATACGATATGGACTTAGCTTGAATTATTTATATTGACAAGTGAAAAGATATAATAATTGTAAGTAATTTCTGTTGCTATAATAAAAAGAAATTTCTCTTTTACGTAATAAATTGATGATTATATTTGTAATCATTCATAAAATTATAAGCTGAAATAATAATAAATATATTGTATATTGGCTGAATGCCATAATCTCTTGTTCAATTTGGTATAAAAGAATAAACGAGATCTTACAATACTATGCACATTTCAATGGATATCAGGGAAGAATAAAATTGCAATTTTACTATTCGTGTCGCCAGGTGTCACTTAATTGGTTTTTAACGAGATTCCTATGATAACTGAACGTTGTAAATGTATGGAGAGATTATTTTATATTTTGTATTTCTATTTCCAAAAGTACAATTGTTTGAGTGTTATTTTAATAAAAATGCTTTCTCGACTGTGTTCACGTTTTATTTGTATTGTCAATACAATGGTTAGTAAAATAATAAAACGGAATATAATTCATTAGTCACGATTTAATTATTTAAATTCTTCACCAGTTAGCGTAATGAATTACGATGAGAAAAATGATAATGAATATTTATTCCTAATTAAGCGTTCTCACTAAATGTACAATATTATTTCATTCCCAAAAAAAAACCGAATTAATTAAACACCTGATACATATATATTCAGATTTAAAAATATCTTGATCAATTAGGACTTCTTTTATTAAATAGGTACTTAATTTCTCGTTTTGCTTAAAAATATGTCTGGTTTTAATCTGGACAGTTAATATGTTAAAAGGAATATATTATGTATTTTAACTACTTAAACATTGGAATAGATATTTTGCGTAATAATTCATAATCTATTATATACAGTGTAAACTCTATATAACGACACTCGATTTAACGACAAACTCTCTAAAGCGTCGAAATCAGGTGACTTTGGTTGGTGTAGCTTGTCTACCATACAATGATACACTCTACATAGCGTCACTCCCACTCTCAATAACGACAACATTAAGTAATAAAAAGTACCTTTTAATTTGCTAAAATTAGTGAAAACTGCGCAGCTGTGTACCTACGTTCTTTTATCGCTTTGTTATCCTAGCCCGCAATTATCTCGATTGTCGGAATCATGCATACCGAACTTTCTAAGAAATTAGTTCTTCACCAAGATGCCTCAATATCCCAAGATATGAATAAAATAAATAAAAAAATACAACAACATTACTGGTGCAGCAAAAGACGTCAAACAAAAATAACAGACTATACGCAATAGCGTTCGAATAACATTCTTTTTTATGTACATAAGTACTAATACTAGTCTGAAATAAACTTTGTCTTTTTCTAATTCTAATTTTTCTTCTTTCTATTTAACGGCAACTCTCTATAACGCACTAAAATGCACAGTCCCTTCAGTGTCGTTATATAGAGTTTACACTGTATTTCTGGCACTACATTTATCTACGGATATTCGAGAGGTATATGTTTGTTTATTTACACTTTTATTTGCCAAAGTGAACGGACTAAGTGTGTAAAATCCGTGCCAAAAGACTTAGTGATTTACAACAGGCGATATTTATAGCCCAGAAGTGAAAATAACGAGTGAGACAAAATAAAGAAAGGAAGTTGCTTGAAACGAAAAGGTTTGTGATGTTGTCGTGAGTGGAAGTAGTTGAATTATATTATAGTAATAAAATATAGTGGACTTTTTAAGATAATAAATAATTTATTCTTTATAGTTAAGTATTATTTAGCCTCTCATGCATGAGGGCGCGGGTACGATCCTGGCAAGTACCAATGTGATTTTTCAGAGTCATATGTACTTTCTGAGAGTATTTAGACATTACTGACATACGGTGAAGGAAAACATCGTGAGGAAATCTGGACCTATAATTTCATAATTATAAGTTTGAAATCACCAACCCGTCTTGAGCAAGCGTGGTTAATGCTCAAATCTTCTCCATGTGAAAAAGAGGCCTTTGAACAGCAGTGGGCTCT